ATATAAAAGGGACGAATCTCTCTCTTTATAACTACTGCTTAGTGATAAAAACGAAAAAGTACCGTTTTTTAATCAACGTCACCAATTTCACGCACGTCATTTATGATGCCATTGACGAGAAGCTTGAACTAATACTTTGAAAGACTGTACAGATTTAGTGTTTTGCATCTAACACTTTTTCTCTGTGAGCCCTACTATTTTTATCCCTAAAAGATTAAACCACTAAACACTGGTACCAACAGGCTGATTACGTGAAGTTTTCCGAGTTTTCTTCACCTAAATAAGAGCCAGTTTCCTATAGAAATCCTCACTGGAGGTAGGCTACACCCTTTAGTAGATAAGGATAATCAATTCTGCTACTAATGGGTGTCAGGCTCGTTACTCGAAACACTCATATCTGGAGACTGATGAGCATTTTCTTCAGAGTCGACGCCGTTTTCCTGAAGTTCAAGTAACTTCTGGCAGTCATCTTATATTGTTTGGCAATGATGTCTCGCCACCCGAAATGCCAACGCAGAGTTTTTGCTGTGTTTGATACAAGAATCAATCTGTTTAAATTGGTAACAAATCAAAGCCTTCCAAACGATTGCATAAGTTTGGCTTCAGGCCAATGTATATTTGGAAAATTCTATTTATGTTTAACATTCACACTATTTAAAATTTTCTTCACTCGATTTTTTATCGTTAAATTTGTAAAAATTAATAATGGTTATTTCAATTAAAATAAGCTTATGCTGAAACGATTATCAGCTTAAAGCTCGAAAATACCACAGTAATGCAATTAATCATTATTTTCGATCTTGATCAATAGAAACATTTCGATAATATGTCCTTAATTCTGAAGAAAACCGTGTAATCACAATTTTAATAAACAGGAAAAAAATATGAATACTTAAAAAGTGATCCTAATCCTTTCTATCAATACGATGTAGCCAAATAGCATACACATGGGCAAAAGTTTTTTACGCTGACCACATTCTGATTATCCAATTAGTCAAATTAATATTATTTATTTTACATAAAAACAAATGCACGTAATTTATATCTTTAAATTCATATTTTCATATGACCGAAAAATTGTGAAAAAGTTTAGTTTCATTCTGTTCATATTTGATTAAAATGACAATACATTTACTAATTTAAGTTTAATTCTAAACATTATTATTCAAAGTAANTTTTTCGCACATAATCGGTTATCCGAAACATCGATCTTCCAAACAACCCCAGTCCCCAATTGATTCGGATAATCGACGCTCTACTGTATTTTAATTTATTGAATCTGATTTTGTATTTTAATAGTTTCAGAAATTTTCATTTAAAGCTGCTGGTTACTAAATAAAAAATACAAATGAGTGAAGAAGAGAGAGATATGGATGGAGAAAGTGATGCAGATAAGAGGGCCCATCACAATGCTTTGGAACGAAAACGAAGAGATCATATTAAAGATAGTTTTATTAGTTTGAGAGATGCTTTACCTTCAGCAGCTGGAGAGAAAAATAATGCAAATGCAAAGAAAACAATTTCTCGTGCCCAGATTCTGAAAAAAGCGGCTGAATATATTCAACTTATGCAAAAAAGAACTGCAGCTCGTCAGCAAGATGTTGATAATCTTAGAAGACAAAATAAGCGTTTAGTGGAAGAAATTGCTGTTTTAGAAAGACAAAAGAATGGAAACTTTACAGGATCACCATTAGAATCTTCAAAACAGTTAAATAATAAGGGTGATTCAATATCTGCATTTGATGGTGGCTCTGGTTCTGATAGTTCTGATACAGACGACTCTAATCGTAGCAGAAGAAAACGCTTGAAAGCAACAGTTTCATCATGAATTGCAAATTTTATCTTATTCAAATGAAAAGAATCTTTTTTTATAATTAATTTTGTTTANTGTTTGGATCTCATTTGTTTTAGTCATATTTTTAATATCATTTCAAAATGAATTCAATTAAATTTAGGCTTCATTAAGCTTTTATTTCTATTCAAAACTGAAAAAATGTTTACAAACATATCTTAATTTCTGTAATTAAATGTATCTTCTTAAATAACAGTTTCATCATGAATTATCTCCGAAGTAACTTTTCTAAGGCTTCAATAGTTTCGGCTCTGGATAAAAGTTCCATTTCTGCCCTAATTATTCTTGAACGTGGATATTTATGACTCTTCTTAAATATATTAACGTTACAAATATCCGTTTGTTCATTAGTATTAGAAAATAAGTTTTTAAAATTAGGTTTAGTTATATATTTAGGTACCGCTTCCTCTTCTGCTTTATAAACAGTTTTTTGTTTCATTAGTTCCTTAGGTTCAAATTTAATCAGTATCAATTCTTTATAATGATTTTTATCGTCCATATTTGTAACAAGTTCAAACATATCAATTAAACATTTTAACATATTTTGTCTTTTTAAATTGTAATCAACCATTTCTTCTTCATTTTCAGATGGACAAATAATAGCTTCTGTAATAATATTTGCGGCATTTTTCATTAAGATCTTCAAATTTCTTATTTGTTCCACATTTCTTTTTATTTCTTTCTCATCTTTCATTAACTTCTTGTTAAGTTCATCAATTCTGTTTAATAAATGTGTAATTTTATTTTCAATATTGTTATGAGATCTTTGTAGATAAAGAATGTTTTTCTTTAATAAAATATTTTCATTCCATAGTTTTTTCATTTTTTCTAATTCATGCGAATTTCTACGAAGACTTTTTAGAATCTCATCAATACTTGCTTTTCTCCGATTGTAATCTCGTATCAATGCATCTCGTCGATGTTCCTCTATTTTCTTCCTCGTTTCTATTTCTACAATTTTTAATTTAAAATTATCACGTTTATTTAAAAGTTGATAAGTAATTTCTCCGAGTTCTTTCAATTCTTTCTTTTTCATGACATTTTCTTTTAATACATGAATAATCTTATCTGCCAATATATCATCGGATATTTTCGTGTATTCGGAGGCCATTTCTTCGACTTTTTTAATCAATTCGTTTCGAATTCGATCACTTTCTAATATAAAATGCTTTTCAAAATCGTGAAGAATTTTAGCGTAATTTTCTTTATCATCATTTAATGTTTGATTTAGAGTTTTAATTGATTCTTCTATGTACATTTTATTCAATTTTGTCTCAGATAAATTGGCTAAACTAGTCTCCATATTTAAATTATTGCTTTCTGTATGTTTTATATCGTTTATAAGCTCTGCTAATTCTTCATCTATTTCTTTTTTTATATTTTCTTTTTCTTTTTTATGTTCGTTAGGCATTTTTTCTAATTTTCTTTCTAATTTTTTAATTTCCTCATCATTTTCTGAAATTATAAAGTTTAAATACGATACGATTTCTTCTTTATCTTTCTTCTCATTTTCATATTCTTCTTGATGTTTCTTATTTAATGCTTTTTTCTCTTCAAATAATTCGTTTAACCGTAACAATTCTTCGTTAAGACAATTTATCTCAGATTCATAATTTACTTTATCAGTAATGGTCATATGCAATTTTTCAGCATCAAATGCTCGCTTTTCACCTTTCTTCAATCCTTTCTTAGGAAACATTTTTGTTAAAATAAGACGAGAATTTCTGTTACAATTTAAAACTTTCAATCGTGTTCTACAGAACCGAAAAATTTAGAATGAGAATTACGTAGAATATTACGTACCGGAACTTTTTATTCTATATTTGAATATTTTATTTTTATTTATATTTTAAAAACTTAGATTACGTATACTGTATATTCATACAAAAATCTATTATATTTATAATGATGTATTACAATGGGCAATACAATACTGTGTTGGAAGGCGAATTTAAAATCGTCACGAAATAAAAAATAAAATAAAAACGGTGGCACCGGATATCAATGGACACTACGTACCGCCATGTCGGGCCCCGTCCCTCGCCACCGAACCGTCCCATTGTGGGCCTGGCCGAACCCATAACGGGCTTGCTAAAAGAGGCCCTCTTAGTGCCCACAGGGCGAAATCGCCACGAAATTTTTTGAACAATCGCGTCAATTATCTATTTTAGAATTAAAATAAATAAACTGTTTATTTTTGCCATTTCCAGTATTTTGTAAAAAATCCTGCGTATGGACCTGATTTTAGACTAAATTGTATATATTCTCCTATTAGTTCTTGTAAAAAAACAATAATTCTTCTCTCACTAAAGCTGAAGCAATTAATGAAAGAACAAATAAATATCTCAAACTTAAAAATATTTACAATTATTCACTAGCAATCTATTTAAATAACTAGCAATGCCTGGTTGCAATTTTTAATCATATTTTTAATTTTTTTAAATTTAAAATATATGCTCTCCACCTCAAATTAGTAGTCCCGATAACAAAGAAACAAACCCATTTATGTAACTCCGTTCTGGGAAAAATTTTTGAATTGAAATCAGGCGACTTTCGGTTTGCATCTGAAGTTCGTATACAGCTAATCGGGGCCTCCTGCACCATTCTTTCCACATATGATCTCTATGATACAAGTACGATCTATCTAACTCTGTTCTCGAGATTAAGGAAAGACAGATGGATGAAAGTGGAAATTTATAGGTCTATTCTTTCAAGATAGTTTTACGCAAAGGCCTATTTTGTTACAAAAGTATGCGCGAAAAGAATGCGTTTTAAGTGAAAGCTGAGATCAACACAAAATAAAATGAAAGCAAGAGAGATTTTCTACCTCCCACCCCGGTATGTGTAAGGAAAACAAAAGGGAAAGTGTTTAATCACGTTAAATTAGGCTTGGTTTTGGAGGGTGCAGTTGAGGAATACGTAGGCTTCTAAGTTGCTTAAACTGCGGCTTAACTCGTAATAATAATATCATCTCTTAATATTTAAAATCCTTTAATATAATTCTTCCAGAATTATATTAAAGGATTTTTCATTGTTTGTCATGTTCTTAAATTTTTGCTATTGATTTTGAAATGTTCCTTAATGTGAATCTTCGTATAAAATGAGGTCATCATGTACTAAACAAACTGTACTGCACTGAAATTGATTCATCAAAGGATAATTTTATTTTCGAATTAAAATACATTTTAAAAATTTATATCATTTTATTAGAGTTAATATTGTGTAAATCGTGATTAATATTGGCTTTTGTTCGTAGGTATTTTTGCATAATTTTTCTCATCAGTTCCTATTTCGTAGGGAAGAAAAAGGAATTATTTACCTACAATGATCAAATTTCAGCTTTTAAAATATATATTGCATTTACAAATAAAACTCACTTTGTTTGCTTCCTCGTCATCAATCTCTGCTTCTTTTATCTTGTAACAACGTTTCTGAAATTCATTATGAGTAAATTTTATTGCAAAAAATCCTGATGATCCAATTATTTAAATGACTAAAATAATTTACATACCAGCCAAGAGAAGTATTCTCGTTTGGGTGGTGTAAATAGTCTTGTTATATTGCAGACTTTTGTTGCTTCTATTACAGAATTTACCTTAGAACATATTTCATACCAATTTAGCATTAAATTGAAAGGACTGGGTACGGCTTCGTCTACATAAAAATATGTAGCACATTGTCTGGTTCTGATATATTTCCATTCCATGTCGGCATTATCCTGAATCATTAAAATAATAATTTAGGATAATGCCGACACGAAAAACAAAGCTTATGTAATTTATATGAAATTAAAATATAGCTTGTATGAATTAACACAAGCACATCAAAGAGGACATGGCCAGCCATGATTATGCTCATTATGAACAATCCGTTCCGTAATGGGCTCAACTGGCATAGGTCAGAAATCAGTGGATGTTGTCCCGATTTCTTGATAAATTATGAAGGTCTGGTAATGGCCATCTGATACTAATTTAATGTTTGTTCGATTGGTTGGGATAATGCATATTTTTACCTAAATTTGACGTCATTCTTTAGAATTATTCATTGTAAAACTGAAGTAATGACGTCAAATCGAAGTCGAAATGTACACTATCCCAACCAATCAAATAGACCCTTAATATGAAAGATGAAAGTTCTTACCACGACTTTTTGGAAAGTATTTGTTAGAACAGCAATCAATATGTTAATAAAAATTATAATCATTAGCACATGATAACTGCCAAATAATAAAGTCCCGATAGCCTGGGTAAAACTGTGGTGAATGATTACTTCGGGTGATGTTTCGGTTTCTATCCCAACTATTACATCTGCAGAATCGAGATCGATTAATCCAAACAGAGCCCAGAATAAAGTCTTCATCGAAGAAGATAAACTATAGAATTTTCAAAATTTAGTAGTCTATCCTTGCTTATTTTATTTAAATTAGTAACGTAAATTTACTTACGAAGTGAAAGCAGCATCTTGAAGAATTATCTCCCCGCCGTTTTCTTTTCGTTCCATTCCTTTATAGTGTGAATATAAACTTGTCATGCAAATGGCAATGGTGCTCAGCAGAATGAAAACTCCGGCCAAGAACCATGCGATATTTACCAGCATTCGTGTTAAAGAGACCTAGGAAATTTAATTATGACATTTTTATCTACGTTATTTATTTAAATAAATACGCATTTCACATAGAAATAATCTTTCCTGATCGAAGTTTATTTACAGAGCAATTACAGTACAATCTCGACACTTCTAGATATTCAACGCTAGTCGACTGGGATATTGCCGGCACGGTTGTCAAGTCTTAGACAATCCACCCGTTCAAACTCCATTTCCCACTTAAGGTTGCATGATATTGAACCTGAGCTCGAACACTCAAGCTTGGGCACGATATTAAAAATTATTAAGCACTTTAAAAAAGGTATCGTATAGAACTTATAACATAGTAAGTTCTATATNATTGCCGGCACGGTTGTCAAGTCTTAGACAATCCACCCGTTCAAACTCCATTTCCCACTTAAGGTTGCATGATATTGAACCTGAGCTCGAACACTTAAGCTTGGGCATTAAAAATTATTAAGCTCTTTAAAAAAGGTATAGTATCTTATAACATAGTAAGTTCTATATAAATATAAAATCAATCTCTCAAAATTTTCAAAAACACCAACCACTACTTCCACTAGGTTTAGTGAAATTCACCAACTTGGTAAAACAATTTATGGGCAAAGACAGAATATTTTCATCAGAAATTCAACACGTATTTTGCTATTATTAATTAACAGTTTACTCCGCACTATCAAATTTATTTATGTGCTATTGATTCATCTTACTTACAATAATCTGGCAATCTCCTTATTCAGCTCCGTATGTTTCGGATTATCGAGATTGGACTGCACTTAGAAATTAATACGTTTCGTATTATTACCTGAATGGGTCCCAAATGAAAACTTTGTTGAAAATAATATAGCATTTTTCCAATAGCTAGAACTCCGGAAAAACTTAGTAAAGCTTCGTGTATGAGAGTGGAGTCATATGGTGACCAAAATTGTCTAGGGACATCTTTAGCTCCCATGTGATGTATATCAATCCACGATTTAAACCAAAATATGAAGGTCGTCGTTAGCATCANAACGCCAGAAATTGTTTGAGGAGCAGTCAGTCTGGATATGTCAGATCCTGTCCGTCACCACCTGGCCGCCCCTTGCGGGGTTGGCCGAATCCAAAATGGACTTGAAAAAAAAGGTTTCATAAGACGGAGAGTTGAAAAAGAGTTTAATGGAAATGGACTGTTTCCATTAAACAAAACGTGATGCGCAACACTATTACTTCGTTTAATAGCATAAGATGACTGGTTGAAATTCATCAAATTGAAAAGCTTATCGTTTTAAAAATTTTGAATATATTTTCATATCAATAATAAATATAAAATAAGTCTAGAGTCAAAAGATTCAAGAACCATAAAAATTTATTTTTATTAGCTTCAGTGGCGCATTATCTTATGGGCAAAAGGACAATTGTCTGGGGCTCCACCAAAGGGGCCCCAAACTAATTTTTTATAAGAAAATATTTCCTCCAAAGAAAAACGTCTGAAGTCAACACTGTACTGTACATGGGGACCCCTAATTCAAATTTGCCCTGGCGCCCACGAAGCTATAACGCGTCACTAATAAGCTTTGACTTCATATTTAATATATTATTACTTTTAATAAAAATTTAAGTATAAATATTTTAAAAGATTAAAAGATTAACGATAAAAAATAATATTAAATAAATGTCACTGAGGGAAAAATTCACTAGAGGGCTTATAGTAAGCGTGTGTTTACGTTTTTCTTTGTACTCGTGGAAAGTGTTTAAAATTAAAATATGAATAGTTTAAATGTCTGACAGTTTAGTATTATGGCACAAAGTAATTCGTGTAAAATTAAAGGAAGTAGCCACGTTAATCCTGCATTTCGGCACGAACAATTATCCGATAATTCAGAATCGAGTGAAGAACTGTCATCAGATTCTTTCAGTGATGGGTAATTCTCTTCCGGTTTTTAATTATTAAAATTAAGGTTATTGGGTTAGGTGTTGTACAAATACAAAATAAAAATATAAATGTATTTATATAATATGTTTTATGATCNCGAAAAATTTTTTCTTAGTGTACATTCTCTTGACGTACTCTATTAAAACGCAATCAAAAACGCAAAAACCCGCATCTAAAATAGTATAATAGAAGCCAAGTTCTTCACAGTAAGCCTTAATCCTGTCTCTCTTCCCCGCGGGGGGAATATCGAAAAATCCCTTCTTTGTGTACAATCTGTTGACATACTCTATTAAAACGCAATCAAAAACGCAAAAACCCGCATCTAAAATAATATAAATAGAAGCAGAGTTCTTTACGGTAAGCCTTCCCTGTAAGGCTTACCGTAAAGAACTGTCCATCTCCCATGTTTAACGAAATAATATACAGCCTATGTCCGCCCTGAAGTTCCATTCTAAATATTGGTGAAAGAATTTTTGAAATGGGATGAGTAGTTTCGGAGATTACCTGCTGCATACAAACTAACATACATACAAACATTACCTCTTTATAATATTAGTATAGATTTAGCCAATTAATTTTTTTCTTTGAGTAAGTAGAGATTGAATTGGTGTAAGTCAATATTTAACTCAGTTCTCGAGAATAAGGAAAGACAGACGGACAGACAATCGGACGACAGTGGGAATTTGTAGGACTACAGTTTATTAAATTGCAGCTCAATAAATATATTAATTAATATTTACATGTAGGCAAATGCGGTTCGGGTATACGGTGATTCCTTTTTAACAGAAGTCGAATTATTTCAATAGAACCTCTTTGAGCAGCCAGTATAAGAGGTGTCATGCCGTAATCAAATTCTATGCTCTTACAACAACTCTGAAATTCCAAATTTCTCTCCCTGAAGCAAGAAATTAATAAAACTTTAGGAAATTGAAAATCATCTCATTAATCATTTTGTACTTACTTAAGAGAATCCAATATCATCTCTATAATTTTTATATTTCCTGTGCATACGGCATGAAGAACACAATCCTTTATGTCTATGTCCGGTATGGTAAGTAAGAACTGAATCATCTCGACGTTTTCATTTTCGACTGCGATATGAAGCGCAGAAAGACCTTGATAATTAACGCAATTTATATTGAGTTCATTATTCTAAAATATGAATAAATTAATGAGTTAGTTGTTCTATCTTATCTCATTCTGTTTTAAATAAAATTTGTAAAAGATACGCAAAAGTCTTCTCATTCAAAGCGCTATTACCGATAAGAAAGTTCTTAATTCATTTACGTCTCCACTCTTGACAAATTGAAAAAATTTTCTTTCTGTCATATCCAATTCCGGTAAGGACACTATTTGGTGAGGAACATCCGGAATATCTATAATTATCGAATCTGTATTCATTTTTTTTTACTGAATTCTCCTTGAAAAACTCGCTGAAATATTAATAAACAATATTTCTTGACAATAGTAAAGTAACTTTTATTTACAACGTTAACAATTATAAATTATTTATTGTTATAGAATAAATACAAAAAATATTTATTAATTGAAAAATTAGCCTACATATATGGAAATCATAAGAAGTTAATATACTTTTAACTTTGTGAAATTGACTTTTTTGGATTTTTATTTACGGCTTAATAAAAATGTCTAAGAGAATCCGGATTCGAATCCGAGTCCTTACTGCTGAAAGGCAGGCCCGGTTGGCCGAGAGGTTAAGACGGCAGCCTTCAGCTCTGGGGACCCGGAATCGAATGCCAAAGAGTAAAAAACGCCAGAAATTGTTTGAGGAGCAGTCAGTCTGGATATGTCAGATCCTGTCCGTCACCACCTGGCCGCCCCTTGCGGGGTTGGCCGAATCCAAAATGGACTTGAAAAAAAAGGTTTCATAAGACGGAGAGTTGAAAAAGAGTTTAATGGAAATGGACTGTTTCCATTAAACAAAACGTGATGCGCAACACTATTACTTCGTTTAATAGCATAAGATGACTGGTTGAAATTCATCAAATTGAAAAGCTTATCGTTTTAAAAATTTTGAATATATTTTCATATCAATAATAAATATAAAATAAGTCTAGAGTCAAAAGATTCAAGAACCATAAAAATTTATTTTTATTAGCTTCAGTGGCGCATTATCTTATGGGCAAAAGGACAATTGTCTGGGGCTCCACCAAAGGGGCCCCAAACTAATTTTTTATAAGAAAATATTTCCTCCAAAGAAAAACGTCTGAAGTCAACACTGTACTGTACATGGGGACCCCTAATTCAAATTTGCCCTGGCGCCCACGAAGCTATAACGCGTCACTAATAAGCTTTGACTTCATATTTAATATATTATTACTTTTAATAAAAATTTAAGTATAAATATTTTAAAAGATTAAAAGATTAACGTTAAAAAATAATATTAAATAAATGTCACTGAGGGAAAAATTCACTAGAGGGCTTATAGTAAGCGTGTGTTTACGTTTTTCTTTGTACTCGTGGAAAGTGTTTAAAATTAAAATATGAATAGTTTAAATGTCTGACAGTTTAGTATTATGGCACAAAGTAATTCGTGTAAAATTAAAGGAAGTAGCCACGTTAATCCTGCATTTCGGCACGAACAATTATCCGATAATTCAGAATCGAGTGAAGAACTGTCATCAGATTCTTTCAGTGATGGGTAATTCTCTTCCGGTTTTTAATTATTAAAATTAAGGTTATTGGGTTAGGTGTTGTACAAATACAAAATAAAAATATAAATGTATTTATATAATATGTTTTATGATCAATTGATTGCAAACATTCGTTTCTACGAAATAAGAAAAACTGTTTACATAATTTTTTTTTTGAATGAGTTGAACAGAATTGGTAAGATTGCAGATGTGAATGAGGCACAATTCTAGGACAAATGTAGCAAATTGGGACTTTGACAGAGCAGTAGAGCATATCGATAGGAACAAAAAAGTCAAAGGAACCATGCCCGTACGGGCGACCCTTCGCGAGATATAGTGGAGCGTTGCAA